ATGACTGGAGAGTAGGAGGAAGACCAGAGTTGCTTTTGGCATCTAGAAGTCAGAGTTGTTTTTTAAAAAAATCCTGCAGTGAACAGGACAGCCCCTCACCCACTCCCACCCAAAAGTGTTACCTAGCCTAAAAGGTCACTCGTACTGAGTTTGAAAAACCTGCCGAGATCAATTGAATACTTCCCACTTGTGTTGTTATATGTGAAGAGTTCCACTACTGAAACTGGTTTGCAGTCAGCTACATACACTGTACATGGATGGAAGTCTGAGGGCAGGTCATCTAAAAGCCTAAGAAAGTAGTAGCCTCATCAACATGAGTCCACAAGCCACAGGTGTAGTAGGGGCTTGTGTGCTCTTGAGATGTTTATTGTGTACATTTGATGTTTAGGAATACATGCAGATTATAAAATGGTTACCACAGATTGATATATTTCTCATTCTACGTTTTGGAGACAAGCTGAAAGATGCTTATTTAACAAAAATCCCTAATAAAATTTGTTCTCTTTAGTTCTCGTGCTGTATATTAGCTCTAAACACGCTGATGTTTATCCTATGATTGAGAGTTCTCCATTTCCTCCCTACCCACCCCACTTACACTGCAGTTATTGCCACTGTCTCATTTTCTAGCTGTTTTGAGCTTTTGTCTTTTAATATAAGTGGAAATAGGCACTGCTTGTCTTCTTGTGTCTGACTTCTATGACTTAGCATAATGTCCTCTGGGTCCAAGTGGCAAATGGCAGGATCATAATGTCGCCACCTCAAACTGTCCATCTTGGCCTTGTGCCTGTACCCCTCCTCTCTCAAAAACCACATTAAGGACAAAAGAAATAAAAGCAGGGCAGGTGGCATAGAGATGATCATGGCTTTCCATTAATAAACTGTCAGTCAATTTTCTGTACTGTAATGAAATGCCTGAGGCAATAAAAGAGATAGGGTTTATTTTGATTCCCAATTCTAGAGACTCCAGTCCAAGATGGAGTGGCGGTAGAAGCATCTGGGGGCTCAGTCCCCTCCAGGGGTATCCTCCAGTGAGGCTGTTGGCAGGGTCCTGAAGTGCTGTGCTCTTCCCAAAGGTCCCTTTTAGACTCTTGTCCTGAACAAAGAATTGAACAGGAAATGAAATAGCAAGGTTTTACATGAACTGAAGGTTAAAAAATTTTTTAAAAAAGCAGGCAGAAGTGCTCTGAAGTGCTCTGCAGTGTGGGTAAAGTAGGACAGGAAATAAACTCTGTGTGTAGTTTGGGCCAGGGAGAAGGCTCACAGTGGCCGTGCGGTTAATAGCCACAGCCTTTTATGTGTTCCATTCTGACGTCAGATCTAGGCCATCCTGTCAAAACCCCACTCGATCATGTGCCAGAAGAGCTGAAGATAGCATTCTCTGATTGGTACCAGGTATAGGGCTTCTGCCTGTGTCCTGGGTCTCCATAATGACGGTCACAGCTGCGTCACACCCTAGTCTCATGCCCAAGGTCCCACTCTCAAATGTTCCAGCACCTCCCCAAAGTGCCATCCTGGGAATCAAGCTTTGTAGCACTCAGGCCTTTGGAGGACACTGACGCAAACCATACTATAAACCCTGAGTTCTCCAATGGCAAGTCTTAGGCCACCTCGCTGTTCATCAGTTGTTTATCAGTTGTACGTCTGTGAAGAGAACTGTCTGGGTCACTTTCTTCATCACTGAGACACAATACATAACACTTAAAGCTACTCTTAGAGATTCACACATTGGTTACGTGTATCCCTCATAGTAATCCACTGAGGCAGATAATGTTATACCCAGGCTGCAGATGAGCACACTGAGCCACAGAGAGAGTAACTTCCCCAAGCCTTATTGTGGGATGGGGGAAAGCAGAGGAGCTGAACCAGATGTGGGAATGCAGGTGTGTGTTCCTGTAGCCTTTCTGAGCCCTGCCCCTGCCACCCTGGTGACTGGGAACCACTGCCAGTGCCACTCCCATTCTTGCTTGAAGCCACTTGTCTGTGTGGCAAAAGAACATCGTCAGAACATCATCAGTGCCCAGCAGGAAAACACAAGCCACGGTACTTAATTCAGCCAGAGCGCCCTTTCGTACAGGAGTTGCCTGGAAAGCTGTTAGAAGGCTGGAAGACACCGAAGTCTGAAGGGAGTGTTCCCCAAAGATCAGGAAGCCTCTGTAAGTCTTGGGCTGAAACATGTTTTATTTGTTGCAAAGTCGTGGACATGCCATGTAGAAACGTGGGATCCTGGACACCCACTGCTGCTCCTGGTGTCACTTGTAGACACATTCGACACCCTCCATTGCCTGCTGCCATGGCTGCTGTTAGAAGCTCATCCAACTCAGGGGAACAGTTTCCCCTGCCAGTCTCCCAGCACGTCCCAGGAGCCCACCTTCACAGGAAGCCATCTGGGAAGAGAGTCTGGAAAATGTAGTTCACAGGCTCATAGTCCAAGGGGCAGAGCAGGACCAAGAGCCATCAGTACTACCCAGCAGAGCGTGCAGAGCCCAAAGCCCGGATTCTCACCATGCCAGCCTTGCCCTATGGAGGCCCATCTTGGTGTGGTTAGAGTATCAGTCTATAAAAACTGACATCTCAGAAACTTCAATTTTATGTACACCAGCAGCCTGCTGTCCCCGCCGCCCTGGGCTAGCATCCGCTAGGTAACCACGGAGCTGTGGTGTCTGGAAAGCTTCCCTGTCTCTCTTGTCCTAATGCTCACTTGAGAATCCAGTAGATTCTCCAGCAAGAGTTTCCTAATAAGGTCTTTGGCACTATTTTTTAAAACTACTCAAACAGTATGATACATAGGGGCAAAAATTCCTGCACTCTAGAATTGGTAAAAAATCTTGCTTCACAGCTAGAATTGGAGTTCGGAGAAACAGAACTGTTTCAGAAACAAGGAAAAAAGGAGGAAAAGAAAAAATATGTGTTGCCTTGTTTTGGTTTTTGGTATTTGGTTTTGTTTTGTTTTTAATGTTTTGGTGCTGAGGACCGAATCTAAGGCCTTATGCTTGCTAGGTAAGGTCTCTACCACTGAAGACCCCTGAAATTCTTAAGTATTAGTTTAGTTTATGATAACAAGACTTTTTTCCAAAGGAAATGACAAAATTCTAAGGGGCAAAAATAAGCAATGGAATGTAACCTACTATTCAGTCTTTTTTTTTTTTTTAAATCGGTACCAGGGATCAAACTCGAGACTGCGGGCTTGCAAGGCAGGTGCCTATACCGCTGGGCTAAATCCCCAGCACTATTCAGTCTTTTCAGTCAAGGAAAGCTAAATACAGTAAATACATTTCTTAGTATATAAATTGATCATCCTGGAAACTGGTGCCTGCGTTCGCTGGGGTATAACTATGCCTTTCAGTAACAATCTCTACGGAAGGTCTGTTCTTTTCCCCTACTGAGATGGATTAGCAGCTTTGCCCCCGAGGACGTCTGGGCTCCTGCATGCTGACCATTCTGCCCTCTTTGGCGCTGTCCTTGCCCTCCATGGGTTCCCAAGTGGCTCATCCTGTCTCTGTATTCAGTCCAATGGAAGGAGGTAGACAGTGCCAAAGAGTGCACCCTGAGAGTTGCAAATGGAGTTCTGCTTGGGTCCCTCTGGCTAGAGGTTAGCCCTGGGGCCACCCCCAGCCCCCAGAGAGTCTGTTGTCCGAATCTGTGTGCCCCTCTAAAAATCCTGAGTTCTGGGAGAAAGAGGGAATAGTTAAAGGGGGAAATGCACCAATTCCTACTGCAGTCTCTTTGGAATATCATTTAGATCTTGAAAAATTGAGGCTAAAACTAATTCAGAAGCATAAGTAGGAGCCAGAGGTATAGCCCATTGCAAAGGCTGGGCCTAGCTTTTGGGAGACCTTGGGTTTGATCCCTTCCCCTGCAAAAAGAAAATAAAAATTTAAAAAGTAGCTGAGAATACCCATGAATATATAGTTTAAAGGAAGTTTTGGGTTTTTGGAAGGACAGAGTCTCAATATGTATTTCAGGCTGGTCTTGAACTTGGTAGGCCCAGACTAACCTCTTAACTTGTGGCAATCCTCCTGCCTCAGCTTCCTAAGTGCTGGGATGACAGGTGTGCACCACCATGCCCAGCTGTCTTTAATGTAACTCTTTGTAAACCTTTTTATTATGGAAAATTTCAATTATAGACAAAAATGAAGCACATCATTGAGTAAACCCCATGTGCCCATCTCCTGGATTTGAGTTGCCAAGTGAAACCTAGTCTTGTCTCAGCTCTGTGCTCTGAATTTCTCTTTTCCCTTCCTGATTGTTTTGAAGTAGATTTCACATGTGCAGTTTCATCTATATACAGTTCTGAATGTATCTCTAAAAGGTAAAGGGTGGTTCAAAAAATTGAAGAGTCACATGCAATTGTAAGAAATAACCTAGAGAGGGGCTGGGGATTTAGCTCACTGGCATAAGCGCCTGCCTTGCAAGTGTACAGTCATGAGTTCGATCTCTGGTACCGATTAAAAAAAAAAAAAGAAAAAAATAACCTAGAAAAGTCTTGTGTACCCCTTAATCAATTTCCTACAAGAGTAGCCTCCTGCAAAAATATCTAGTCCCATATCACAACTGAAATGCAGCCATGGGTACAATCAAGATATGGGGAATGTTCTGACACCACAGAGCTCTCGTGATGTCCTTCTGTGGCCACACTAACCCCTGCCACCTACTAGCCTGCTCTCCATTTCCATGATTTTGTCATTTCAAGAATGTTAGAGATCAGAAAGATCATGTATCATAGATGAGCTTCTACATTAAGTCACCATAATTTAGTTTCATCCAAGGTTGTGTGTTTCAGTTCATTCCTTGGCTGGGGATGTGGCTCAGTGGTAGTGTTTGCCTAGCATGTGCTAGACACTGAATGAGATGACCAGTATCACAAAAAGCAAAACGAAAGAAGTGTCATTTGCAAGTAGTGGTCCACCCTATAGTTGTATCATATTGAGTCTCTCTTTCAAGAAGCATGATCACCTAAGGCTTCCCTCTTTTCTCACTCCCCTCTCCTGCTCTGTTCACAGCAATGCCAAATGATTACAACTCTGTGAGACTGAAAAACAGTTGCTCAAGGCCTTCCCTGGAATGGTACACCTGTGCTGAGAACAAAATGAGAAGACCCAGCTTGCTGCTAAAAAACATCCTCAAGTACGTACCGCCTTGGAGCCCTAAGATCACCCCTGGTTAGGTCAGGGGTACAGAATCCCAAGAAAAGTTCACTGTGAGCCCGGCAGATGGCAGATGCTGGAGAGGTGAAATGGGGCGAAGGTTCATCTGAAGGTCCAGCCAGGAAAAGATTGAGTGCACAGAGGAAAGCGTGTCCGTGCCCAGCCGCTGTACCTGGGCCAGGATCCTCGGGAGAACAACTTACAGCTCTGTTGCTTCTATTTAGCAAAAGAGAGCTTTCTCCCTTAACTGATTTAAACTAATCTATAAACACAGTTAAAGTCCCTAAGGACACTTGACTACCATTAAATAGTGAAGAAAGATGGACATTTCAGCCAGGTCACCTTCATATCCTAATAAATTGTGGAATTAGTAGAGGAACATGTTGGGCTTTTGTTTTTAACCGGCCAAACTAAGTTGAAAATTCTAAGGATGTCTCAATATAGAAAATCTTTATATAGAAAAGATAGAAATCCAATCCTTACATCTAGTCCCTGACTTAACATTACTAATTCAAGAGACACAGAAGGAAAAGATCAAGAAACACACGTGAATAAAGGCCTCCCTGTAGCGTCCGGCCAGTGTTCATGGAGGCCTGCAGCCTGCCTGACCCTGTGTCCGGTGCCAGCCGCGTGGCTGCAGATAAACTCGACCTGGGCCCTGTCTGCAGCTGGTGTGGACAAAGCGGACTCACGCCAGGGTACACGAGTGCGATACCCGGGCTGTGGACGCCGGGCTTGCTTTTAACACTTTTTCTTTTAACTTCCCATGAAGAATCCAGACAAGGGAAGCATTCCATGCACCAAATCGAAACACCCTGGGCTGGAGAGGTGAAAAGGTGCTGCTAAGCTTTCCAGATTCAGAATTGCAGAGATGTTTAAGGGACTTAGTACCCACATTTTCCTTCTACGTTTCTGGGGAGTATTTTTGTGGGAGTGTTACTGGGAATTGAACCCAAGGCCTTTGCACTGAGCTGCATCCCCAGCTTTATTTTTATTTGAGGCAGTCTTGCTAAGTTGCTGTAGGCTAGACTTGAACTTGTGGTGCTCCTGCCTCAGCCTCCAAGAGTGCTTGGATTACAGGTGTGTGCCACCACACCCACGTATCCTTTCTGCTCTTTTTTATTTCTTGCTTTATTTAATTTTTTATTTTATTCTATTTTGTTTTTTGAGACAAAGTCATAGCTTAGGCTGGCCTTGAACTCACTGTGTAGTCGAGATGGGTCTCGAACTTGCAGTGATCTTCCTGCCTCTGCCTTTGAGTGCTGGGAACACAGGTGTGCGCAGCCATAACCAGATGTCCCTTTCACTCTTAAAGATGACCAGTGTTACTAGTTTCTTGTGTATATGAGAAATATTGTGAGTATGCATGTGCAGGTATGTCTTCCGCACTCAACCAACCCATTTTTATATATAAATGGTAACATTCTGTTCACTTTAGCAGTATGATATAATCAACCCCAGAGAAAAATTAAGGTGTACGCCCAGGTTTTTATGGAGAGCCTAGTGAAATGGGAATTCAAACATCTTTTTATGGGGGAGTTGGGGTTGAGAACAAGGTCTGCTGTGAAACCAGGCTAGCCTCAGACTCCCAGCAATCCTCCTGCCTCAGCCTCCTGAGTACCAGGATTACAGCTGTGCCCCACCAGGCACAACCAGAAGTTATGAGAATATTCCTACCCCCAGTCTCTGACATCCTCCTCCTCATACTTAATATTCAGTATTAAGTATGAATCATGGGCAGTATATTATGCTAGCTGTTTTATTTTTAAAACTGCCTCTTTAGAAAAAAATAGTCTTCTCCTTACAATTATTTCCTACCTTTTTGATTTCCAAAAACACAGGATATTTAAAACAATGGTTCTGAAACTGTGCCTTACACTTTTTTTAAAAAAATATGTAATTTGTATCACCGGGGAGCTTAATAAAAATGAGAGTCCTAGAAACACATTGGCCGCAGCTGTTTTCCCCAAATCCCATGTGCACATGTGTGTGTTGAATGGTGTAAGTGTCAATTAGCAGATGTTTAACGAGTGTTTTTTCAGATGGTCTTCGGAACTAGTAGCACTGTCTCCCTCTACTCAGTCCCATTTCTAGGCAGAATTTGTTAGAAATACTACAAGTAGATTGTTTCTTTTGTATGTTATTTTTTTAAATGAGAACTGGTAAAGGAAGCAAAACGAGTTTTAAAGAAGCAAAAAACCTGAGATTCTGTAGTTCAAATCTATTACTTGTCCTTTTTCAATCCAGTAAGCTACAGTGTGATTTAGATTTTTTTGTGATACTTTTAGCAAATGAAAGTTGCCAGGAAATCTTGCCAGGAAGCAGCACCTTCTTTTTAAGCCGAGGCGACCTTAACAATTGTACTTCTGTGCCACGCAGTAGGCTAGCCCTGTTTGGTTTGTTTTCCACTTATTTCACCTTTTTTTTGTCCTATTGTCACATGACTGCATTATTATATCTGATTGATATTTCTTCCAGATGTACGTTGCTTGTGTTTGGAGTATGGATCCTTTATATCCTCAAGTTAAATTACGTCTCTGAAGAATGTGACATGAAAAAAAAGCATTACGTGGACCCTGACCGCATAAAGGTTAGATGTTCCATTGATGTGGTTTAAATTAAAACATTTCCACGCATACACTTAAGCTTAGTAATATCACTAATGCGACAAAGACACATTAATGAAAGTTTGAAACTGAAGGGAAGATACCATACTTAATCTTTGCATTCCCAAGTCAAAAGCATCCTTTTCCCCAAAACAGACCAACCAACTCATCTTCCCCATAGCACCGCCCGCCCATTCACCCCGCTGAAGCTCGGGGTGACCCACACACCGGGGCACCTGCCATTGAGATCATGTACCTGGATGCCGCTTGTCCAGTTCGGAGGGAATGAAGAAAGTCTCTTTGTACCACTTGTGATTCCTGGGTTGTGTTTTCAGTTCTAATGATTTCACATTGTGTTCTCAAGATTTTTCTTTCAGTCAGCATTCGTTTTTCTAAACTGACTGACATGTGAAATGCAGATTTCACGGATGACTGCGCAGCAACAATTAGCTCAAGGTGAAAGAAGAGATGGCTGTAAATAAGACAGTGTGTTAGGAGTGATAGCTGCCATGTGCGTGAGCTCTCCTAATCACCATGGTGCCCAGGGACATCCAGTGTCATCTCTGTCCTACAGACGATGGCCTGCAAAGTTGAGCACTTGCTCAAGTCCACACCTAGTTTAGCTAACTGTTTTGGTTCACCTACCTTAGTGCTTACTGTGTGCCAGAACCGTATTAGAAGTGCGTTAGTGACGGTAAGCCATTTGACTCTCTTGGTTGTCCAGAGTTAAAGGTGAGGAATTACCTGTACCTCGAAGCTGAGGCTCCTGAGGGTGACGTAAGGGGCTCAGGGCTCCATGGTGGGGTCAGGGCCAGAGACAGTCAGTGGTGTGATTTCAGAGGCTGAGCTCCTGATCCCTCTGCTTGGAGAAGCCAGAGGCTGCTAAAGCCGCCGGAGGAGGGCTTCAGTGGCTCAACCATGAAACCGTGCATGATGGCAGACTTCCTTGGAGACCCAGTTCTGTCCGCTGTGAGTTGCAGACAACGATCTCAGGTGTAACAGGGTATTAGCCCTCAAAGTGGGATAAGATAATGTACACAGAGCTCCTTTCCTCATTCCAAATCATTTCCACTTTAAATGCCTCAATCCTTTGCGGTACAGAGAGATGCAAAGGCGTCAGTGAAGAGCTCAGCCAGTACCTGCACCGGGCTCCTGCTGGTGGCAAGGCTTCAGGCTTCCTCTCGCTCTGTAACTCGGTCCCCAGATGTTCACCGCCTGTCTCGCTTCTCTGCCTTAGCGCATCTGCTCTGGTGCAGCAAGCTGTGTCCAGGGTCTTCTGCTTGGCTTTCCCTCTTCCTCCAATCTGCCTGGACTTGAGGCACCTGCCACCCCTTTCAGATCCAAGGCCCTTCGCCCCTCTCCTGGATCGTGTTTTTAGTCATCCTGCCTCTGGCTTCTGTTTTGGTTTTGGCTCCAGGGAAAGGCCTCGAATAATGGCATTCATCCTGACTTACAGATACGCTGTGAATCCTTCCATTTGTGTCTCTGCTGTACTTTTCTCCATTCTCCATGGGTCTTACCTTCCTTGTACTTGAGATTGAGCTGCTGACCATCTGACCGATGGCAAAACTGCGGTAGAGTCTGTGTTAGATGATAAGAGAGTGGGCCTCTCTTGGGCAAGGGGTGAGCACCCCACTGCACACGCACAGGATGGAAGTGTTTTCGCAGTGCCCTTCCTAGGTGAAATGCACACGGCAGTTTTAGAGACCTGGAAACCTGCAATCGTCTTTTCCTCTGAGTTACCACAATAGACCAGGGATGGTCTTCTTGGCCCAGCTGTGGTCAGGCAAGGGCTCTGGTTAAGATGCCCATTACTCTTAAAGGTGGTCTGGAAGAATCCTAGTAGACATCTGAGAAAGACTCAAGACCACATCCCAGAGCAACCTCCGAAGGGGTGGGAGCATTTCTGTGTCCTGAGAGAAGACCTGGTCCAGGGCACACAGTGACCAGTGTTAGCAAGCTAGCAGATGTAGTAGTGCACGCCTATGATCCCAGCACTTAGGAGGCCAAGGCAGGAGTATTGCCACTAACTTGAGGCCGGCCTGGGCTACAGAGTGATTTGAAGGCCACCCTGAGCTACATAATAAGATTCTGTCTCCAAAAAAAATTTTTTTTAAATGCCAACAATCTGGACTTCTGGCTTGTGGAATAATGGGACCCGCCCAGGTGGCTTTAACGACATAGATGTGTATTGGGATAGCAGCCAAACTCAAGGGAGAGAGGTTTGATGGTCTGTGCTTTGCAGCTCCTCTGTCACTTGCCGGTCTCCCTCAGGTGTTATAATTCATGTGAGCGTCTCTTCACTCAGCATGAATTGTGAGTTACTTGAGAGCCAGGGCTGTGTTTGTAAGAGCATGTGGTTCCTGAGTTTCCTAGAAAAGGACTTGGTGAGTCAAGGTTGCACTTATGAATCCTCTGCTCTCGCCCATGGCCCTGTCCCACGCCTCCGCTGCCTCCGCCTCCTTCCCCTCCTTCCCAACCGCCTGTCCTCAGGCACACCCCAACGGTCTCCTTGCAGTGTCCTGCGTTGATTCCCTCCTGGAGACTCTGCTTTCTTCTCTTTGGCTCCTTATCTGGCCCGTAAGACTCTGACTTGGTTCCTACCTTTCTTTCTAACCTGTTTTTGCCACCTGCTGGTGCCCGCCCTGCCTGTCTATTGACATAAAATTCACACCTCATAAAATTCACGCCTTGCAGCAGAGGGTGTAGTCACTGTAGTTTATTTACAGACCTGTGCAGCCATCACCACAAGCTAAGTTTAGAACATTTTCCTCGCCCCAAAGAGGAGCTCCTTTCCATCAGCAGTCACGTCCTATTCAAGTCACGCCCATGCCCAGCAAGTCCTAGGCAGCCACCTCTTGTCTTTCTATGGCTTTGCCTATTCTAGATATTTCATATAAAAGTAGTCCTACATTATGTGGACTTTTTGTCACTAGCTTGTTTGACTTAGCATAATGCTTTCAGGGTTCACCCGTGTTGTAACATACATTCGTACCTCATTCCTTTTTATATCTGGATGGCATACCATCGTGTGGATGGACCATTCCAATTATCCCGTCCTCACTGGTGGATGTTGAGGTTAATTCCACTTTGGGTCACTTGGAATAATATCGCTCTGAACATGTATATAAATATTTGTTTGAACACCTATTTTCAGCTTTTTGGTATAGGCCAGTGAGTATAATTGCTGGGTCACATAGTAATTCTATGTTTAACTTTTTGAGAAAATTCCAACATGTTTTCTAAACTGGTTAACTCAGTGTCTTCAGCATTTACTGCAACCGTCCTAGGAAGTGGTAGCTCCTTGGGTTTGGATTTACGTTTCCCAGATAGATAATGATGTTGAACATTTGTTCCTGTACTCATTGGACATTTGTGTATCTTCTCTGGAAAAATATTTACTCAATTTACTCCTTTGGCCATTTTCACTTGAATTATTTCCTTTTTTTATTACTGACTTGTAAACATTCTTTGTGTATTCTAGGTGGTAGTCCCATGCATCAAGTTTGTGATTTGCAAATAATTTTACCTATTCTCTGGATGATTTTTTCACTTGCTTAATGAGATCATTTTCAGCATGAGTATAATTTTGAAGAAATCCAACCTATCTTTTTTCTTTTGTCATTTGTGCTTTTAGTGTCTTATCTAAGAAATCACTGTCTAACTTGTTTTCTTCTTAGAGTTTTATACATTTATGTCTTTGAGCCATATATAGTGTGAGGCTGGGATTCAGTTTCATGTCTTGGCATGGATTCTCCAGTTGTCCCAGCACCTTTTGTTAAAAAGACTGTCCTTTATTGCTATGTTATTTCTTCTGTGCCTGGAATCACTTCCTACCCTTTGTCTTTGTTACGCATCTTTGACATCAAATCTAGCTCAGGACTTACCTTCCTGGATCGTCTCCTGGTCTGGATTCTTGAAACCTATTCAAACCTTAATTCTAACTTTTGTCATATTTTAACTTTTTCTTCTCCACCCACCTTCCTGGCAGGATCTTGTGAGAGAGGAGTTGTGTGCTAAAGTTTCACATTCGTTAGTATATACTTCTGTATATTAAGTTACAGAGAAGAGGGAAGGTATCAAGTTTAACCACAGTATAATCTCTATCTTTGAACTATCCACAGTTAACAGCAAACTCTTTGAGTACATTCAGTACTCAAATGTACATTGAGTACATTCCTATCCTTTTGAGGTATAGGACTGATTCTTCTGTTCAACTGTAAATGACTGAAATAAAGCTTTCCTTCCCCTTCTTCCCAAAGGATGGAATGTAAATTCTTCATTTTTGACTGATTATCTAAGTTCACTGATTACCTTCAGGTTAGACTGATCATTTTAGACAGTTATCTAAGTTCACAGCTGGACCAACAGCAGCCCTTCACAGGTACCAGTGCCCTGTCTTGATTGGCTTAAGCCAAGACTCCTGACCAATCACTGGCTAGAGGGGTGGGAATATCCAGTGGGCAGGGTAAACTGCCCAGATCCCATTTCCTGTCTAGAGAAAGGAGGTAGTACCTGAACCAAGCTGAGCAGCCCTAGAACCATGTTCCACCACATAAACCAACCCAGCCCTAAAGGGTTTCTAAAAGGTTTACTTCCTCCAGTTAAAAAATAGCACTAGGCGCTGGAGGTTTAGCTCAGCGGCATAAGCGCCTGCCTTGGAAGCAGGCAGTCGTGAGTTCGATCCCCGGTACTGATGAAAAGGAAAAAGACAAAAAAAAAAAAAAAACAAAGCACTAAAGATTCAAGTGATACATAAGGAATAAAGGGACAGTTTCTTGTCCCTTTTTTTTTTTTTTTTTTTTTTGTGGGGAAAGAGGAAAGAATAGGGGAAGAGTTACAGAATTTTAATATGTAAAAACTTCCATAACCATGGCAAGAGCGGTGTGTTTTATTCTATAACTTTAGATACTTTTAAATTGGCTTTTTAAAAAAATCCCACCCCCCCCCCTAGTTCTACAGGATTGAACCCAGAGGTACTTTACTACTGAACTACATCTCAAGTTCTTTTTAAATTTTTTTAAAATTTTGAGACAGAGTCTTGCTAAGTTGCCAAGGTGGAACTCAAATTTGCAAGTCTCCTGCCTCAGTCTCCATTAGTAGTAGCCATGCCCAACTACTTTTTGATATATTTGACCCTTTCAAAATGCTCTAATTTTCAGAGAGTCTTGACAGAACGTTTCACTTCTTTCTGAATTGTGCAAGGTGATAGAAATGGCAAGAACTGCCTATAATTGTCAGACACAGTGGTGCATGCCTGTAACCTTAGCTACTCAGGAGCTGAAGCAGGAGGATTGCAAATCTGAGCCCAGCCGGGGAACTTAGCAAGACCCTGTCTCAAGGTCAAGTTTTTAAAAAGGGTTGGGAATATAAGTCAGTGAGCCCTATGTTCTATCTCTAGTACCACAAAAAAAAAATTTTTTTTAAAGGAAGAGTTGCCTGTTACTATTTAGAGCAGAGCACACAGCAGAATATGAGGCTGAAAGTGGGACCAGGCAGGGAAGGAAAGAAGGAAGGAAGGTCTTAGAATCCACACTAAAAGGTTGTTTAATCTACACATCTGCTCATAAGTTCAGATGCAGATACTGAAACCATCTCTCACTTTCCCTGGCTGGAGGGATTGGTTGGTGTGGCCCTCACATCCTGCATAGCAGAGAGATGGAGTTCAGTACAAGTTCCCTACAAAGAAAACTCTGGCTCCTGGCTACCAGCAGAGATCTGATGCTTACCACCCTCCACACATGGGCCCATTTGAATGATCCTGCAGGGATATTGGCAGAAGAAAGTCTCAGAGCCAGGAGAGTGGGGCCCTGTTGGCTTTACCATTTATGCTCTGCATCCTGTGTTTCTTTGCAGCAAGTGAGGTACGCCCAGCTGAACCAGTCAGTAAGTGGGGCTCCGGCACCCACATCAGTTTTTTCTGTCCTTGGTGCCACCTCCCCTGATCCCCTGGGTGCCCTAGAACGTCCCAGAGTGAGAGATGGAGATGACCCTTGCCCAGGGTCCAGTGCTTTCCCCAAGATGACACTGCTAGTTAAACAGGTGTGGGAATGTCCAGCCTCTAGTATCATTTTACCTCTGGTGACACTTTCTGAACAGATAGCATCTGTGATACCATAGCATTTACTCCTCTGAAGCATGTAAGAGCAATTCAGTTACCGTAGAGGGTCACACCACCAGGGCCTCAGTCTCAGCACAGTTTGGGGACCTTTCAGTCCCCCAGGTTTATTCCCCTGAGCCCCTTTGTGGTCAGACCTCAACTTGACCCCAGCCCCAGGCAACTGCTGATTCTAACTCCTTGAGGTTACTATGGAATTCTTTTCATGGTTTTGTTATTTTGGTTTTAACAGAGTTTAAATAGCGGGTAACTTAAATGTGAATTAATTCTATGAATAGCTTAATCCTTGCCTCTGCCAAGCACTGGGCAGAATGCTTTGGGCATCAGGGCAAAGCCAGGTGGAAGAGACCAGAATCCATGTTTACAGAAGTGGAAGTGGAAATTAAACTTTAAAAGGTAACCAAAGCCCAGATCACGTGTGCTGTGGCAGCCGGCTCTTTCCCATATTTGGTTACCTCCAGACCCAAAGTCTACTCACTTGGGTGTCAATGCTCTGCCCTCGCCTGAATTCATTGTATTTTTATTTACTTTGCAGGGCCTCACGTACACCAGACAGTGCTCTACCTCTGAGCTACCTTCCCAGCCCATGTCCCAAGTTTAAAAATAAATAAATAGAACATTGTCTCTTGCTAAAAAGAATTATGCCACTGACCTATATTTTCGAGAAGGATGATTCGTAAAGTTATGGAATAAAAATGAAAGGGTAGCTTTTGCTAAGGAAAATGACTTAGGCTTTTTTAGTTCCTGTCAGTGAATTTTTACAGTGTGGTTTTCCATGGCAAATCGCCACACATTGACAACTGGAACTGCCAGACATCTATTTATTCCTTAATTGTGGGCAGCCTGCAAGCTCAGCCTGGAAGACTTTTAAGAACTGAAACCTTTCTTTGTATTCCTGGATTTGAGACAAATGTCGTTTAGAACATCGCCAGTTCCTGCATCCCAGGCATCTGGGTGACACCATCACATTCCCGTCAGTCCTCCTGGGCTGCTTTAGCTCCCAGTGTGGAGCTCTGTAGGCGGAGAGGGGGACATCAAACCACTTCCTGGCCCATCCCAGGGTCAGGCCACCACAATCTCAGGCTCGGCACAGCTTAGGGATCTTTCAGTCACCCAAGTTTGTTCCCTAGAGCCCCTTTTGTGATCAGGCTTCAACTTACCGGAAGTCCCAGGGTTACTGCTGACTGGGGTGCTTTACCCTTGAATGCTTTCCATGGCTTAGTTATTTAAATTTTGTCTGCTTTTAAGTGGGTTAGCGCGTTTTCCTTTCTAGGAAGCTTTGCTCCCAGGGGAGCAGTGAGGGGGCTAATGAAGATTCCATTTAGAAGAGTGTCCAAGGGACGTGCTCACAGCTTGTCGTGTGTCTTGAAGCCAGCTGAAACAAGAGGAGAAAAGGTTTTAGACATTTCCGGTGGCATTTAGAGCTCTGTTCACTCAGGTTTCGTTTCCAGCTTTAGCTGTGAATCAGGCACCAGAGGGGTTACAGCTGGAGGATGGCTTCAGAGCCTCACGCTGCTCACTGTCTAGAAAATTAAATTTGAAGCCTGAAATCCAGCTCTTTGCCAGAACAGAAATGGAATGAAATTTCACTCCTTTCCAAATACAATTTCTAAAGGGAAGGTCTGGTCATCCTGGAGCTGGGCACACATGACCGGCTTGCTCCTGGCCTCTTTCCAGTCAAGAGTTGATGGGACCACTTCTCTGGGTCTTATCTGGCACTTCTCATGCATCCCTTTCTATCTGAGGAGAGCTGTAGAAGTGAGCATTTTGGATGCCATTCTAGAGGAAAGACATGGGCTCTTTGGTCTCTCAAAATTGCTGTTTGTGACCTGTAGGGCTGGAGTCTGGAGATTAACGCATGTAGTCCAGGTGGCCCTGCCATTTCTCCTGCTTCTGCCCATCGGTGCCACGCATCACCTGCTTGACTGAGCCTTCCCCTGGGCACAGGCTCATGGCGCACATTTGCTTGGTTTCTGACTGATTCCTCACCGTGATGCCAATCGACGTGCAAACTGTTCTCCATATAGTGGCCTCCTGTGGGAAAGAGCTGTTGTTTTAGGGCAGGGAGAGACAGTCGGCAGGCTGGTGACATCAGCTCAGGTCTCCTGTGTGATGCCACCTGGAGCCCACAGAGTGAAGATGCGGGGGACCGACTTGCGAGGTGCTGCAGGAGTCAGCAGGGAAGCTGAGACTGGGAACATGCACAGGTTTGCAGCATATCTGAGGCTCCAGGAATACGGGTTTCCCTCGCAGAATGGAGGTGCAGGCAGTGGGCTCTTCACGGGTATTATTTCTTTTCTGAAGCTATGTTTGTTAAGTATTTGCACCGTGATAAGATAGGCGTGTGCCTAAAAAGGATCAGACAATGAAAATAATAAGACTGGCTGGCCATGGTGGCACTCTGGAGGCCCAGGCAATTTAGTGACTTAGTGAAACCCTGTCTCAAAAATAAAAATGGGGGGGTTGTTTAACAGTGATGGAGTTCAGTGCAGAGGACCTGGTTCAACCCCCTGTAAGGAAAAAAATAAAAATAAAAGACTAGATGGGAGAAAACACATAGTTGGTGCAACATTTGAAACTATAATGGTAAGAGTCCTCATCGTGTGGTACTAATGGAGTTCAAAACACCTGATAAATCCCTAAAAATAAGTACCCCAGACACATAGGACTTCACACCGTACATACACATATAGCGCACGCGCGGTCACCCAATGGGAAGAGGCGTGTGTGAGGCAGGACAGGCAGCGCGGAGCTGAGTCCTGCATGCTGAGTGACAGGGCGGTGGTGCCCGCTGGCTGGTGCCCAGAGGGAGGTGGGTGGGCGGCCAGGCATTTGCAGCTTGTTCTGAGTTCCTTGCCCTCAGCATGGCGTTCAGCAGCTGGCCTTGCCTATTGACACAAATCACTGACCTGTGAGAACATGCATCACAAGCCAGGCAATATCCACGTTAATAGGGCACTGATGGGACTGAAGGTGATTTGCCTATCCTGCTAGTGAAGATTCTGAAATATGAAGCCCCCTTTTTAAAAAAATTGTAGTAAAAAAATAGCATAACATAAAATTTATCATCTTAAGCATATTGACACATGCTACTCTGTGTTAAGGATATTCACACTGTTGTGAAAGAAATCTCTGGAACTTTTTAATCTTGAAAAACCAGAGCTCTATACCCATAAAGCAACTCCCTCCCAGGCTTAGTTCCTAGCCATTACTAGTGTGCGTTTGTATGAGTCTGAGGTACTTTGGGGACCTCATGTAAGTGAAATCATGCACTGCTTTTTGTTTGTGACTGATTTGTTTCAGTTGGTATAATGTGTTTAGACATCATCTAGTTTGGGTTAGAAATTTATGAAACCTAAAACACTTCAAAGTGTTTTTTCACTCCAAATTTCTTTGTGCAGTGTCAAACCAGAAGTAGCAGGTGGGAGTCCTGGCTGCTCTGCTTGTGCAGTGAAATAAATAAAATTTTAAAAACCTGTGGAATTTATCTCCTTCCCTGTGATTCTGCCAGGTTGCTTTGTTTCTTCATGTCCTTGAACATAAGTTAACACTAAAAGGCCAGTGTTCCTCTGTTAAACATAAGAGTCAACTCAGGAGCTACATCAGACATCATAGGACATGTCATCTACAAAATTCTGGAGAGATGTTAAAACTCAGATCGGTGTGATTCCATTCCAGAGAGCTCAAAGATACGCTCAGCAAATCCTGCAAAAGGAATGTCGGCCCAGATTTGTGAAGACGGCCATGGCACGGCTATTTGCACACAGGTATAGCGTAGACCTGCCGCCCTTCGTGGAGAAGGTCTCCGGAGCCAGTAAGGCTGAGGACAAGTATGATCCGCCCTTTGGATTCCACACTCTCTCCAATAAAGTCCAGTCCCTCCTGGAATTACTGCCCGAGCACGACTTCCCTAAACACTTGAAAGCCAAGCACTGTCGGCGCTGTGTGGTGATCGGAAGCGGGGGAGTCCTGTACGGACTAGAGCTGGGCCAGGCCCTGAACCAGTTCGACACTGTGATAAGGTACTTTGCTCTCAAACCGGGCTTTCTCCTGCAGAATCCAGCCCAGTGTGCTGGTTTAGTGTTTCTTCAGGGAGAGGAAAGGGCCCCAGAAGCGTTTGGGGCCACTACCCTCCAGAGACTCACTATTTAAGAAGTTCAAAGAAAAACAAAAAGTGATCAGATACTCCATCCAGACTCTGCCTAAATTCTGCATATGGGCAAAAGCTTTGGGCCGGAGGTTTGGAAGGATGGGTAGAAGTGGGAGAGTCAGCAGTGGAGGAAGACTGCTGGGTAGGGGCAAGTGGGGGACGTAGACAGGGACGATGTTGGGGGCACCAGGCTTTCAGGATGGGGGTTAGGGCTGGTGGTCTTAGAAGGCAGGACTGGCCAGGACAGAAAGTCCACAGGGAGCTGGGACTCACCACGCCAGGCAGCGGCAGTCATCCTAGATTCTTTCTTATTTAGCTGTTTAAACATTGTTTTTCAGAATGAGAGTGTAGCTTTGAGTAGTGCATTTACCTGGCATGTGTGAGGCCTTGCATTCCACCCCAGCACTGAAAAAAAAAAGCTTTTCTAATTGTAAAGGTAAAGTAAATGTATTCATTATTAAAGATCAGAAAAATGTAAGGGAAAGAATAAAATTCAGCACCAAGAACCACAACCACTGCTAATTTACTGGTTTTCCACTTTTGTTCTCTATGCATACTTCTGATTGCATTTGCATTTTTGTAAGGTTTTTTTTGGGGGGGGACTGGGAGTCAAACTTGGGATCTCATGCTTGCCAGACAGGCGCTGTGCCTCTGAGCTAAATCCCTGGCCTGTAAGCTTAGTATTATGAATAGTTTCTGAAGTCATTAAATATACTTAGTATTTGTTCACATAAGAGTATTGTAAGTTATTAATGATTCTGCAGCAGGACATTTGGAATGTTTTCATTTTTCTTGGTTGTTGTGAAAATGCTTTGCATATTCTTACCCATATGTATACCTCTGATTATTTCCCTGGAGAAGTTCTTTAAAATACACTCTTGGCCTGGTGTGATAGTGCATGCTTGTAATTCCAGCACTTAGGAGACTGAGGCAGGATCACTGCAAGTTCCAGGCCAGCCTGGGCTACAAAGTGAGTGTAAGCCAGCCTGAACTGCTTAGCAAAACTCTGTCTCAAAAAAGACCAAAAGGGGAAAAAAAAAAAAAAATGTTTGTCTTGAGAGTGGGTGGATTTTTTTCAGGCTCCTGATAACTCTGTAGTAGGTTACTTGTCTCCATCATAGGGATGAGTTGGGTCCTAACCAGTTTGTCCAGCAGTAGTACATAGGTGGACTGACAGAGAGTCTGTCAGTCTGTCAGTCCAGGCTCAGAGGCCTGGATTTAGAGGGCACTGCAGTTGGGGTGCGAAGTGTGTGGGGTGATACACGGGGAGGGAGTAATGGCTGATGACAGTCAGTCTGAGAGGTACATTGAAAAAGGAGACCACAAGACTTTCTGCTGGTTTTACAGCAAGTGTCCCCAGACAGCAGGATTTCTAGCTTGGGGTCTAAGGCATTAATAGATTTGCTGTCAAATGGAGAACAGAGAAATGTCTCTGATTAGAAGACAATGATGACAAGATCCATTTTGAACATTTTGAGTGTAAAAGTGATGATGTCTTCACATATTACCTTTGTGATTTGGAATGGACTCCTGTTGCTCTGTTTCTTCATCTGTGAGATAAAAGAGAGGAGGAGCAGTCCCCCCTCCAGGGTTCCCTTGGAGACCAAATGCTTTGACAGGTGTAAAGCACTCAGAGGGGGAGCAGATTGCAGAGGAGGAGGCTCAGCTGTGCCTGCAGCCATTCCTGAAGAATGTGCAGGCAGCTGAGAGTTCAGCCAGGAGCAGAAGGAGAGTGCAAGGTGTTCTGAAGAGAGAACCAGGCATTGGGAAGTGATAAGCCCTAGGCCACAGATCAGGAGTGGAGCCCAGGGTCCATGTGGGCCGGGACTACAGGGCCGGGGAGGTCGGGTGGCAGCTGTGGCAGCTGCCTTGCGTGGGTGTTGCTGTGTGGAGCAGGAAGTGCTTTCTCATCCCTGTCCCTGGGAATAACCCGGTGACACCCACGTGTTAGCTGGCCAGTGTCATAAACAAAGGCAGGGACCAGTGGATAAAAAAGAAACGTTACTCCGAGAGTGGTAATGTCAAGGAACAAACACACTTTCTTGAGATTTCAAGAGTGTAACTGGGTGAGTGGTGCTACTTTGGGGAGAGCTCTTAAGAGTCTCTTAACACTGCCACCGCTGCGAAGCCTTCACCACAATGCCCCAAGTCTTTGCCTTAAAACTGAGTCACCCACCTGAGGCTCAGCGCCATCACCCCACCCCAGCCCCGCAACCCCTAAGGACTGCAGTTAGTATCCGCCTCGCTCTGGCTTCAGATTTTTCATTCCCATTACCTTTTTGAAATCCTAACCAGAACCACTGATTGTCTGAGCACAGTGAGATTTCCAAGGAAACTTCACTGGCACTGAGAATAGCTGAGGTGTAACATGTTTGCATTGACTTAAATGTCGGGGCAAGTCAGAGCCGCTTGCCATTCCACAGGTAGCTCTGAGCACTGCGCGTGGACAGAGCCGCATTCACCAAATACCTGGAAAGGACAGAGCCGGGTGACAAGACTGATGGGAAAGTCGGCTACCCCAACCACGTCCTAGTTCCTGGTCCTAAAGAATGGGAGAGCATGCATGGGATACTGTGGGGTGCGGTGAGAAGGCGGGTGGCTGGCTTTGTCAGTGTGTCTTTTCCCTGTTTGTTTAAATAGGTTAAACAGTGCGCCAGTGGAGGGATATTCCGAGCATGTTGGAAATAAAACTACTATAAGGATGACCTATCCAGAGGGGGCACCGCTGTCCGACGCTGAGTATTATGCGAACGACTTGTTTGTCACTGTTCTATTTAAGAGTGTTGATTTCAGTTGGCTTCAAGCAATGCTAAAACGTGAAACCCTGGTAAGCACTAGAGATTCATCCATCAAGTGTGTCTTTGTAAAATGAAGGGGTTTTTAATTATGTTTACAGACTTTTGTTTTTAAATGCACAATGGGAAGCATACTTTTTTTTTTTTTTTTTTTTGAAGAATGGAACTCAGGACCTTGCACTTGCCAGGCAGGTGCTGTGCCACTGAGCTATACCCCTGGCCCAGGAGGCACACTTTTGTGTTGTTTTTTCTGATGATAACCACCCTCATTTTAGAAATCTCTCAGAACTCTTTGCTGTGAATTAGTTTCAGAACCTTAGAGCCCTATGTAAAAATAGTGATCACTACTTAATGGGATTATCAACTTTGGTACCAAAATTCCTATTATTGAGGTTGGACACCACCTTACCCTCCAGACCTAGAATTGCATGGCTTTTGGTTAGTTGCAGAAATGAGATTTACTTTGATAAATGTAAGTAATTTTTAAGATATTCAGAAGAAAATACATCAAATCCCAAAGACCTTCTCCAAAATACTTTAGTCAGTGGTCCCTGTTGGACTAAACACACAGTGTTCCAGTGGGGCAGATGTGGAGGTGATGGCCCTCACTGGGTCAACTTCCTTCTGTTAGTCTTTGCAGTAATTGGTTACATTGCTTCACCCAATCAGCACTCAGCTCTGGAAGCGCATGTGTGCATTTGTAGGCCTGGACACCAATTAGCTGCCTGAGAAACTCCTGGGGCACACTATAGACTTTTCACATACTCTCTGTGTGATGGCAAATTGACATCTCAAAGCTTGATTCTGTACAGGTTATGGTCTTCTGGGTTTTCTACTGAGCAGACATTGTAGTAGGAAAATGAGGTACATACGCAGTGATTTATAGCCAGTTGCCTAGCAACCTTACAGGATTAGAAAATAAAGTCAATGTAGAAAGGATGCAAGGCGGCCTCCTCTGGGAGGGCACTCAATACTGAACACCCTAAATTGGATTTATTCATTGGGCAAAATAATAGCTGTAGACCTTGAAAAGTCTTCCTAGGGGCTGGGGATCTAGGTCAGCGGCATAAGCACCTGCCTTGCAAGCAGGCGGTTGTGAGTTCGATTGCTGGTACCGATAAAAATGGAAAAAAAAAAAAAAAAGAAAAGAAAAGTCTTCCTGAGGAATTTCTTCCACAAATAAACTGAGTATATAATTTCTTTCCTTGTCCAGGGCCACCTCTGTAAATTGTATCTTTCAGGGTTACTTTTTTGAGCTAAGGTGCTGGATTTCCACAGATCTTAAAGACTATGTTGCAAAATACTGGGCACAGGGCTACGTGGGGTTGTGCCCATGACCTTGATCTTATTAGCAGGGAATACTTTCTAATCCTCTGCTGAGGGGTGAATTTTATTAACTCTCCCAAATGATTGTGTGCGCTCTCTCTCCTTAGCCATTTTGGATCCGACTCTTCTTTTGGAAGCAGGTGGCTGAAAAAATCCCACTACAGCCAAAACACTTCAGGATTTTGAATCCAGTTATTATCAAAGAGACTGCCTTTGACATCCTTCAGTACTCAGAGCCTCAGTCAAGGTTCTGGGGCCGAGATAAGGTATTTTTGTCACTATTCAAAGTTAACTGTATTCTCCTTTTTCCTCCAAAGGGAGTCATGTTCAGAATTCAAGGGGGCTCAACTGTAGAGCCACAGCATCTGCAGTGAGAAAGTTAGTTATCAGTTAGACACCCCATGTGTGTTTATCCTTCTGCACCTTGGCTTCCTGGCTCCTCATGGTTTAATTCTCCCCTACCTCTGCCCTTTGGTATAGTTGGTATGTAGACACTTAGATCACGAAGATGTTAAGGTATTCTTACTCCAGGACTGCTTAACTGTAGGACAATAAAAGGCATTTTGTTGGTCTGAAAAGTTATTTACATTTTAACTCTGTGGTTTTTCTCCGATAAGACTTGATGTTTATGGTTACTTTATAAATAATGCTACTAAAGTCAGTGTACTGTGGTCTATATACTGGGATTTTTTTTTTTTTTTAAGGCAATTTCACTGTGTAGCTCGGGTGGCCTCAAACTCACTGGACTTCCTGCCTCAGCCTCCCAAGTGCTAATATTACAGGCATGCACCACCAATTTCAAAATTACCCACATAATTTTATTTTGTGGCTGTATATGTAAATCGTTATGCTTTGGGTTGTCCGGTTCTTTAGATTATTAACCTGCAATTAGCCGTGCGGCCACCAGGGGGCAGAGTGGTGATGCCTTTATTATATAATTGGCTTCCTGGTCTAAATACCATAGTTAGGCCTGTGAATTTAAAAAGAAAAAAGTTTGGTGTCAGTGGGTAGAAGAAGCTTTAGAAAAAACACCTTAAAATGCTAACGCTTAGCATAAGAACACACCTTCTTGAGGTGTTTGTTAAAATTATTCACATGTCAGACCACATTGAGAGATTCCTGACTTGTATGCAGTGGTAAGCTTTAAAATTCTGATAGGCAAAATACATGATGTATAAAATTGGATTTATGACTGCATAACATACCCAGTACCTGCAAAGCAGCAAATTCTTTTAAAATGTTTTTTTTTCTTTCTAATGTTGGTCTCTGTGTTCTTTTTCAGAACATCCCCACGATTGGCATTATTGCCGTGGTGTTAGCCACACATCTGTGTGATGAGGTCAGCTTGGCGGGTTTTGGCTACGACCTCAGTCAACCCAGAACACCTTTGCACTACTTTGACAATCTGTGCATGGCTGCTATGAACTGGCAGACGATGCACAATGTGACAACGGAGACCAAGTTCCTCCAGAAGCTGGTCAAAGAGGGCGTGGTGACAGACCTCAGCGGGGGCATCCACTGTGAATTCTGAACAAGGCAGAACTCTCCGGAAACTGCAGTGGGGACTGAGGACTGTTCTGAATCGTCTTCTGGATGTATTTCATCCTGCAAATACTTTAAAGTGCAGCTAGTATTTTTAACTTTTAATTTAAAGAAAACAAAGACAAAGTTTAGCTCTTCCCACTTTTTTTCTATTTATTTGAAGACAGCACTTGTTTTTTGCACAACATTTTATAGACTACATTTAAGAACGGAGTTGAAAAGACTTTCCCAAGAGAACCATGTGAGATGATGTTCATTTTAAGAAAATAATTTAACCAGTGAGAACTCTGTCCATGCAGCATTCACATCGAATGCCAGGTAATGAAGTGGGAGGAGAGGGGGCCTCACCCCCTCCTTTGTTGATGCCCCTGAATGCCTGATTGGCCCTTGCTGCTCTTTCTGGTGGAACCCAAGGGGGCAGTGTTTCCAGTCACTAAACCACTGGCAGCTGTAGGAGGCCTGGGGCCAGTTGGACAAGTTCAGGGTCCTCGCCTGTTAGTCCCCCCTCCACCAGAAGACTTGCAGAATCAATCAGGGAGCTGTCCTGGTAACCCCTTATCCCCAAGTGTCCTCCGAGTACTGTGAAGCTGTTCCAGGATGCAGAAGCCACAGTCTTCCCAGCAATTGCGAAGGCATTTGAATTTCTTGAGAATTTTTTTATTGCCTTTCCAAAATATTTAAGTGTTATCTAAGATGTTCCACTGTCTGTCTGAGGTGGTTTAAAAGATGAGGACAAAGCCTCGCTTTGCAGAGTCAAGGGAAATAAACCCTTTCCAGGAATAATCAGAGTTTCTGAAACACTGAAATCCAATCCCCACAGTGTTACAAATTGCTGATTTTTAAAAACCCCAGAATCTTGAATGCCCACCTGGCAGTGTGTGCCAGATAATATGCTGGTACAAGAAACAAAATAGAAAAACAACAATAAAAGCTTTGAGGAGTTTGTGGTCTGGTTAATTTGAGTGTTTGTGTATTTTATGAAAAGTTTCTAAGTCTACCTAAAACATTCTCCTTGGATGCTGCTGCTAAGTAGAGCCCTCCCTGCAGCCTCCTGAACCCAGACAGCTACAGATGTAGTTATATGGATCCACACCAGCTATATGACTTCATTTTGAAAACTGAGACTCAGGAAGATGGACCACGGTTTCCCAGGGGCTCAGACGGGGGCCTGGCTGATTCCATTCAGCCCTTGGGGGTTAACTGGAGAAGCTCACATGTTTTTAATAATAACAGCAGCAGTTGAAACTTCCTCAGAAAACTTTCTTAATGTGATAGCTGCTCTTCACTGGTACCCACAGACTCAGGTCCCTTGTCCCCAGCTCTGTCTGTCCCAACTTTCTGTTGTTTAGTGCACATCTCCCAACTTCTACCTCTTCACAAATAGTAAGTACATGCCCTAAATAAGTAAACACAGCAGAGACGTTTAGACCTTTGTTGGAGCTCCCTAGCCTATAGAGGTTGACCCAAGATCACCTTTCAAGACTTCTAACACTTTGGTATTTTTGCTGGGAATACCTACTTTGTTTCCCCCTTGCCTAGTCCGACACCTACTTTTCTGAGAACAGACTTCTCCTGCCGCCTCAGGCTGTCCTGAAGCTGGGCTGCAGTAACAGGTCCCACTGTCACCCTAACAGCATTCCACCACCCTCCTACACAGATGGAATTGCTGGTGTCGAGGCGCCTTGGGAGACTGCAGGCACCTGCTCTGCGTTCTAGGCTATTGCTGGACTTTGAGCCACAGAGAAGTTGGATGAGTTTTAGTTTGTTGGTTTTTCCTTTAGAGGCTGTACTCTCTCAGGGAACCTAAGCTGACTTTAGGAAATGCTGCTGGAACTGGGATAAATGTATCCTTATAAAATATCCGTGTATTTAGACTGAGGTGAACTGGGGTCTTATAAAACAACTTCAGTAGCCTAGCTCTTGCCTTGCTTTCCGCATGGATCCTTTTGTATCACATGCTGACTTTTTATTTCCCAAAAACATGCAAATAAGGCATTGGCGGTGTCTGCTTCCACAGATTGTAGGGGGTCCCCTCATTTGTTGGAACTGTTACTTAAAATAAGCTGCCAAACCAGTTTTTATGACTGAACTTTCCTTGTAGAATAATGACTTGGTCACTAATGGGTTGAGTGGCAAAAGTGGCCTTAGTTATAACAGATTTTTAAAAAAGCAATGGTCAGTCTAGCCTAACTTTTTCACAGCCTAACAAATCATTTTGATTTGCTATATTTTAACCCAAGCACTCTGGTCTCTTGCTACATATATGGACCACTTTTCATTGCTTGGACAAAAGTACCTGATGTGTACAACTAAAGGAAAAGAGTTTATTTGGGCTTACAGTTTTGGAGGGTTCAGTCCGTAGTCAGCTGGCTCCAAGTCAGAAATGGAATAGTGGGAGGCAGAGAAAAATCCATGGAAGCCAGGAAGCAGAACAGGAAGACCCAAAGAAATGTGCTATCTCCTTACAGCACATCAGACCATGAACTCATCTATGGATTGATCTACTGATGACTACAGTACTCCATGACTCAGTCACCTTCTGAAAGCCCCCACCTCTCAACACAGATTTTTGGGGGACCCTAAACCATAAGACTACATAAGAGGGGATTATAAAAATTGCCCTTTGAGGGGGGGGTCCCAGGACTTGAACTCAGGGCCTCATACTTGCCAAGTGAGCACTGTGCTGCTGAACTACCTCCCTGTCCCAAGACTGCCTTTTTAACTGTCTCAAGATCAGCATTATAGGAAGATTACAGGATAGCAGTTTATAATCTCCTCTTTGTTAGGTTTAAGTATACAAGGGTAGGTTACATTTTCATCCATTCTTTGGGACACATCAGTAAGTCCATTGAGACTGAGAAAGAATTTAACAGAATTCCCTTTGGGAAGAAATAAGCCATTAGGACACTTGCGCATAGCAATTAACTGTGGTCCCTTGAGCCTTCCCTTCATACAAACATGGAACAAGGAACCCTGAGTTGTTACTCACAGGACAAGTTCCCTCTTCCAGAGCACCAGCCCTGTGCGGAGGGCCAACCTGAGGAACACGCACTCAGCTATCAGATGAGAGGAACGCAGATGCCGCTCCAGCAGGGGCACTCACAAACACGTGCCGCTTCCCACCTCTGCCTTTGAGGGCACAGCTCCCAACCTTCTGATTGTTCTCTGATTTCCTGTATTCCTTGCTGTTTTTGCACAGCATGGATTTGCATTTATGAAGCAAGTTATTCCTCTGGGTTGGGTAACCAACACTAAATAGAAGACAACTAAATTGGGCAGGAGGACTATTCATTAGCACATAAACACACACATGCATCTTATTGACTAACAGTTAATGTTCTCCAAGATGAAACTGCAGTCTTAGTAGCTTAACTTTCATTATCTGAATAATTAGATTTGACTAATTCCCAACATTCAATTGCAATCCATTTAGCAAGGAACAAATACGACCATATCCAAGTGGTACAGTGGAACGAATATGCAATGTACTTTAAGTGATAACTTTTTCAAAAGCAAATTTTTAAAATTTGCAAATAAACCATGTAGGAAAGAAAAGTTTAGATTTTTCTTCCGTCTGGAAGAGGTGAGATATCAAGTCTCATACTGTACCAGGCTACCATCCACAACTTGGCAGTGGTTATAGCCTTTGTAGAGCTGCAAATGTCAAAGAAATGAATTTCCAGAAAACATCAAGAGACTGACTACTCAGTAGATACTCCCCAGCAGTTATTCTAATAGCTGTACAAAAGCCCCCTAATCTGTTAGGGTTGCAACCCAAGACCCCAGCAGAGGTCTGAAATCATTTAAGAGTAATAATCCCTATATATACACGTTTTTCCTGTACCTACAATACAATAAAGTTTAATTTATAAACTAGACACTAAAACTTAATAATTCTGACAGTACACTGTGATAAAACATTTAAAATATATAAATGGTTTAATTTCTGGAATTTTCCATTTCATGTTTTCCAACCACGATGGATCACAGGCAGTGAGTGTGGATGAGGAAGACATTGCTGTGGGCTAAAAACCTGGAAGTTCTACAGGAACAATGCATTTCCACTCTGCCCTGTCTTACCAGGCTTACGCTTCACTTAGGAAGAAAGTTCCAGGAAAGCTGACATTAGTGACAAGTTCATTTAAGATGTTAGATCCACGATAAGAAAGCTTAAATTTTTACAGCTTAAATTGCCAGGCAGTAAGTAGCGTGGCAGGGCTAGATGAGCATGTGTGACGAGGGCCTGGTAAGGCTGATCGAGAACAGCAGGCAAAGGAAAAAGTGGTTTTGTTATAATCACCCATGATTACTCATCAGATATCAGACTGCCCACTGAATTGAGAAAAAACTGTCAGCCCTGAGGAGATGATTAAGTTACAAACTCTTGGTTGGCAGCTTTACCCTTCACCCCATCTACAGCACTGTAACAAGGCCTCGCCTTGTCAAAATGTTTTGATTTTATGTCTCCAATGGAATTTATAGAAGGACTGAGATCAAACATAATGAATCTTGAACCTAGATTCTCTATTGAAGGAGACCTTTATGCTAAGAGTAACAGATGCAATCACTTTTTCTGTATGTGATTTTCCTAGTTAAATGATATTCTTATTAAAGAATATGCCAAAAACTACACATTTAAAGCTGTACACATATTGATACATTTTGGAAAACTGACTTACTGCTGAAGTTCATAAAATGGGTGTGCGGCCCTCCTAATGCTCGACAGACCTGCCCCAAGTGGCCTCTCTGTTCCTAGGAGTGCAACATAGCTTCTGGTCTGGGGGTGGGAAAATAAAATAAAATAAAATGGGTGTGCAACCCCCCCTTACCTGAGCATTCCCAGGTGGACCAGAGTATAAGTCAGAGTTTTGGACTTTAACAGGGAAACTCCTGAATAAGAACCTCTGTTCTACGAGCCATTGTAATGAGTTTATTATATGGGATCTGGAAACCAACAGAATATACCTTCATTGAATTACATGTTGGTCGGCTTTTTTTTTTTTTTTTTCTTTTTTGCTGCCACCCATGGCTTTTTAAAAATTTTTTTTAAAAAATGGTAATTACAGGGCCTGGGGGTTTAGCTCAGCGGCATAAGCGCCTGCCTTGCAAGCAGGCAGTCGTGAGTTCGATCCCTGGTACTGATAAAAAGGAAAAAGACAAAAAATAAATAAATAAATAAATAAATAAAAATGGTAATTACTGGGCCAGGGATATAGCTCAGCAGCACAGCACCTGCCTGGTAAGCTCAAGGTCCAGAGCTTGATTCCTAGTACCAAAAAAAAATGGTAATAACTAAAGATCTGATGATTTTTAATTATGCATCACTCTTTTTAAAGTGTGATGAACAAGTCTTCTACTTTTTTTTTTTTTTTTTTTTTTTTGGTACCAGGGATTGAACTAAAGACCTCACGCTTGCCAGGCAGGCACTTATGCTGTTGAGCTAAATCCCTGATCTGAACAAAAGTCTCTTAAGACTGGGTTTCATTGTGCAGCTGTCTGGTCCCCCTGTATGATCTTCAGGATGAGGAATAAGTAAGTTCAAAATCACACACACACACGAAGTTCAGTTCATTCAAGCTGCTATAACAGGTAACAGAGGCTAGCTGGCTTATAAACAACAGAAATTTATTTCTCCCTCTTCTGGAGACTGAGAAGTTCAAGATCAAGGACTGGCAGACTGGGTGTCTGGTAAGGACCCACTCCATGGCTGTCTTTTTGCTGTATTCTCATGTGGTGGCAGGGACATAGGCAACAGGGAGCATGTCACGTGCACGCACACACACGTGAAACTAGGTTCTAACCTAAAGCAAGAGTCTTGGACTCAGTCAAGTGGAATGTTTTATCAGTGGCCTTTTCCTCTCTGTCTTGTGCCTGTGGCTTTTGTCTGCATACTTATCATCTCTTCAAGAACATCATGAGTGCTGCGATCCCAGGGGCCAGCTAAGGATTGGTCAAAAGGTTCAAGGTCTTTGTCCCCTTGCTAAACTTCCCAGCTCTGCCACGGTGGCCACTGTTCATCTCATGATAGGAGAGGAATGGAGAAACCAACTGGCCCGGCCCCTTGCTTCCAGACAAATACTGCTTTTTGGGTCCAAGCACATTAACTTGGTGTTGCTCATCTGGAACAGGAGCCAGCAAGCCAACCAAAAGGCCCTGATTTTGCCTTTGGACGTACGCTCACCATAGCCATTGTTTATGTATTTGTTCTTCATGATCTATGTTTTTATCCCAAGACATTTGGAGTCACCGTTACTGGTGTCTTGAACACTTCTATCTCGGCCTAAAGCAGACTGTCTCCAGAATTTTCCCCAGACCTCTGCACGGACAGCCAGTCCTGTCCTTCTTTTCCTCTCCTTTCTCCTGACCCCATTCACTTCCTGTCCTGTACGTGGGCTCAGCTTTCCCCCAATAGAAAGGACGCTCACTCTTCAGGAGGACAGGAGGTTTCAATAATGGTTCTGAGATTATGAAGGTCACCACAGCCTTGTTCTTTTTTATTGGAGTCACTCCTTCTTGCAGAAATGAAGGGTCATCCTTATCACCCAAGCAAATAATCCTGAAAAAAAGAAGGCCAAATTTTATATATTACTTAACTCTGAAACAGGAAATAAAAAGAAGAAACATGTTTAGGTCATCTTTTCATTCCCATGGCTTTTCTGACAATTTCTATCAGAATAAAGAGATCGGCAACCTCCTTTGGGTAACAAACTTGCATTCCAAGAGCCAACAGCTGTCCCCAGGACACCTTGGGAAAATGCAGACCCCCTGTCAAGAGGACACAACGTGCTGCAAGAGAGAAGGAGCCAGAGAAGTATTTTGAAGCCACAACCCAAAGTTGGGTGTCCAAGGAGTAGCACACTGGCTACTTGTCCCCCATCAGGTCATGGGTCCCTGTGTGTTACCATCATCTGGCTCGGGGTCTGCAGAGGACAAGACAGAGGCCCTGTGAGACCATCTACTGTGGGCAGACGCCACACTTCCCAAAACTGAGAAATGAAATCAGCGCAGGGATGGCTTTACTTTCTACACACTAAACATACCGAGTCCTGGAATATGGGCCCTTCTGCAGGAGCTCAGTTCTGCAGTTCTGGCAGGGCGTTCTGTTCTGAACATCACTTGTGCAAACTCTGCCCACAGCTCTAGACAAACACTCTTTGTTGTATCTTAGATACTGCTAAGCCCAGCTCCCGGCGCTTTGACCCTAAGACAGTGCTAGCTCCTCCCTGCTCCTCCAGTACGGCCACCATTACTTATTTGTTTGTTTGTTTTTGTGGTATTGAGGATCAAATCCAGGGGCACTCCACCGCTGAGCCCTTTTCTATTTTATCATGGGATAGGCTCTTGCTAAATTGTCCAAAGGGGTCTTGAATTTGCAATCCTCCTGCCTCGGCCTCCCAAAGTATTGGAATTACAGGTGTACACCAATGTCCCCAGCTTGTAAGGCCAATTTGAATCCTGACGCCTTCAGAAAGTCCCAGCTAGAGCCTGATGACAGGCTGCAAATGATATGGGCAGAAAAATGATGGATTCCAAAAAATTTTAAAAACCGTTTTATTAGCTGAGCTCAGCGACAACACTGTCCCAAATGGCAGGCAGGAAAGTGTGTGAGCCAGGGGCTGCAGGGAGTTGTAAAGTAGCAAGCCGCAAGGGGCGGGGTCAGGGTCTTAGGATCAGTTTGTCCCCATAAAAGAAACCAGGGAGGCGGAACAAACAGTTACAGAAACCAGGCAGGCAGGGAGCGGTTACAAGGGGTGTTTGTTACAAGGTTGCAACTTAACTGGCAATTAAACAAGTTTTACAGGAAGATAACAAGTTATAATAAGTACAGCACATTTGGGGTTTTTGAGCTTATAACAGAAAACAAATGGACTCCAGCTGGGCCTGGTGGCACACACTTGTAATCCCAACACTCAAGAGACTGAGGCAGGATTATGGCAAGTTCCAGGCCAGTCTGGGCTACATAGTGAGATCCTATCTCAAAAGAAAAGAAAGAAAAATAAAGAACTGCAGTTACATCGTCCTGGAGTTTCAGAATACAGGGGAAAGAAGCCTAGCAAACTTGACAAAATTAGATGTTAGGATGGCAGAGAACGGAGGGGGAAACTAAGGAAGACCTGCCAGCCACTATTCCAGATGCTTCTTTGGAAGGGGGGGGGGGGACAGGCGCAGGGGCCAGGAGCCAGCTCTATCCCTGCCTCCTCGCTCCTGCATGGTTGGGACCAGGCACAATCCTTCGGTTTCTGTTAAATAAGGCTTCAGTAGGCCCTCAGTTCACATTTTCTTTTCAATGAAAAGCAGAAAAGCCGAGTGGCTGTCAGACGGTCCGCAGCGCCACCTGCTGTGAAGAAGCTGTGTGTGCAGCTCTCTGGCCTGCCGCTCTGCAGGGCGCAGCCCGCTGACACCACAGCCTGGCCAGCAGGTGGGGCTGGGGCTTCTCTCCTCCTGCACCAGCCGGAGCTGCTCCTTCTCAGCCCACTGCTCCTTGGGCTCCTCCCCGCGATGTCTCTGACCTTAATCCTTTCTTTTCTCCCGCTCCCTATGAGCATTTCCTGGGAGAGCCATACCCCTGATAAGGCCTTTTCTTATTCTTACACCCCGATCTGTAGTGAGGCTTCCCGTTAAGTCTCCAGAGCCTCCGCCAGCATGTCCACTTCCTTCGGGATGTTGCCTCCTTCGTGCTCACCAAGCTGCCGGAACCCTTCCAATGAAGACCTCCATTTCCTCATCCAGATAAACGGCACCTGGGAAGAGTCCACAGCTAACAGGATTTCACTGAAGAGTGAAACACTAAATGCTTTTTTTCCGAAGTTCAGAAACAAGACAAGGACATCTGTTCCTACCACAACGAGTCAGCATAGTACTAGAGTCTGGCCAGGGCAACTAGGCAAGAAAATAACAAGAAAAGCCAACCCAATTGGGAAGGGAATGTAATGGTCCCATTCTCAGTTAACTCGATCTCGTACGTTGAAAATACTGAGGAATCCACTAAAAATTATTAAGCTAATAAAAATTCAGGTTTGCAGGATACAAGGTCAATGTACAAAAATCAATTATATTTCTAAACAGTAGAAATGTAATTTTGGTTGCTGTGAACAAACTAAAATGAAATTGAGGCACTGTTCCATTTGCAATAACGTCAAGATAAATACAATAGTTTAAAATGTTTAACAAAAGAAGTACAAAATTTATACTCAAAATTATAAAATATTGTTGAAACTTAAAAAGACAAACAGGACTTTCTCATGCTCATAGATCAAAAAACGATATTACGATGATGGTAATCCAAAATTGATCTATAAACTCAGTGTAATTCCTATAAAAATTCTGACTGCCTGTTTGCAATAATGGACAAGCTCCTCAAAAAATACATCTGGAAATACAAGAAAATCCCATTAGCCAGAGCAATCTTGAAAAAGAAAATTCCAGCTGGGGATTTACTTCAGCAGCGTAAGCGTCTGCCTGGCAAGTGCAAGGCTGTGAGTTCAATCCCCAGTACCAAAAAAAAAAGAAAGAAAAATCCAGTAGAGGATTCACCTTTCCCAATTTAAAAGCTTTGCTGGCCAAAGAATGAATATATATACACCAAGCAATAGGGCTGCAACGGGTCCCACCCCACCCCACCTCCCCGTGTGAAACAGCACAGCGCCTGCCCAACACGGCGCCAGGCCCTGCAGCCACAGCTGTCCCTCCTATACTGACCTCCGCATTCTTCTTCCAACCCAAAACTGTTTTTGAGCACTCACCAGCATTCTGCCAATCAACCGTCAATACGTCATTCTGCCCGCCCCTTCAAATGCCACCCCCCAATAAAAACCCTCCACTGCTTAGTTTGCCTCCCAGGCATTCTGCATTTTTCTGTGTCCTTCCGAGAGCCTGCAAAAAGACGTTTTTCTTTTTTCCTGCTTTGTTTCTCTGCCGCATCAATAATTAGCACCTATCAGGCTGAGAGTCTGAAAGTAAACCTACTCACGTGTGGCCAATGAAATTTCAGCAGGCTCCAAGTGCACCCAGTGAGATAGTTCCTTAGCACATGGCGCAGGGACAGTTGGGTTTCCACAAGTAAAAGGACCAAGACAGGTATCGATCTGATGCTTAAAAAACTAACAAAAACAAACTCAAAATGGGTCAATGACCTATACAAAAGTTAAGACCATAAAACTCACAGGAAAAAGCTTCCTAGCAAATCATGACCTTGGATTTGGTTTTGTGTCCTTAGATATGACCTTAAGAGCCTAAGCAACAAAAGGAAAAAATAGAGAAATTTGCCCTCATAATTTAAACCTTCTGTGCTTCAAAGGATGCCATCAAAAAAGTAAAAAGACATTTCATAGAACCAGAGACATTTTTTTTTACAAATTATGTATTTGATAAAGAATTTGTACTGGGAATATATACAGAACAATTACAATTTTTCAATAATAAAAAGAAAAATAGCTTAATTTAAGAATAGTCAAAGGGCCCGCCTGGAAAGCAACACCATGCACCGGTTGCACGATTCCTGCCTGGAAACCACATCATTTCATTGTTCTGTTGGGTTGGGTTTTATTCTCTTTCGTTTTGTTTGATTCTGTTAAACCTGATGGCAGAAGCAGCTATTTGAAAGATGACAAGACATATTGACAGCCATTTTGGATTTACCAGTAGCTTGTTTTGGAATCCTTTATTGCATTCACTGTTTTAGCTGTATTATTTCTATTCTATTTTGTTCTGTTCATTTTTTACTATGTCCAAAGGTATCTGTAGCGGGGCTGGGGATTTAGCTCAGCAGCATAAGCGCCTGCCTTGCAAGCAGGCAGTCGTGAGTTTGATCCCTGGTACCGATAAAAATGAAAAAGACAAAAAAAAAAAAAAAAAAAAACAAGAAAAAAAGATATCTGTAGCTATTTTGAAGACAACAAAAGGCATTATGGTAACTGTTGTTGGTTTCTTAAGATTTTGAAGTCCTGTATCACTTATACTGGTTTATTTCTGATTGGTTTTATTGTTTTGTTTTCCTTGGTTTTTATCCTCATTAAAATAAAAGAATAATTTTAAAAAGTGATCAAAGGATCTGAATAGATAATTCTCCAAAGAAGATATAGAAATGGCCAAAAAGCATATTAAAGAGATATTGACATCATTAGTCATGAGAGAATTGTAAATCAAAACCACTGTGAGGTACCCCTTCACATCCACAGGATGGCTTTACTAGGAAAGACAGACAATAACAAGTGTTAACAGTGCTTGAGGGGCAGAGACATAAAAACAGTGTAATCACCCTTATATAGCAGTTCCACAAATGTTTAAATATAGATTAACTGGGCCAGGGATTTAGCTCAGTGACATAAGCACCTGCCTGGCAAGCGCAAGGTCTTGAGCTTGATCCCCAGTACCAAAAAAAAAAAAAAGGAAAGAAAACAAATAAATATAGATTAACCACATCAGCAATTCCTCTCCAAGGTGTATAACCAAGAAAAATGAAAAATATGTCTACACCAAATCCTTGTATATATTTATAGTGACATTATTTATAGTAGGCAAATAATGTACAAGTAATCCAAATGTCTATCAACCAATGAATGGATAAGTAAAATGTGGTTTGGACACATGGTAGAATATTATATGGCAAGAAAGTGGATTAAAATGGCATGGCATCCTGACATGGTAGGGTGAACTTAGAAAGCATTATGCTAAGTGAAAGAAGGACCACATATGTCACAAGATTCAATTGATATGAGATATACAGGAGGACATATAGAGACAAAAAGGAGATTAATGGTTGCCTAGGACTGAAGATGGGGTAGCTGGGGAGGTGCTGGGTTTGCTTTTGAATAAGGGAAGTATTCTATAGTAATGATGCTTACCTCTATGAGTATACTAGAAACCACTGAATTGTTGGGATGAATTATATCTTGATGGAACTGTTAAAAAACATAGTTCATTGTTCTCTTCATCCTCCCGAACATACTGAAGTAGTGTGTACCTTCGCAGAACATCTCTCTGTGGTCACATAGGTGCCGCAGGCCAGGTGTCAATGACGTTCAGCCTCCTTTGCATCAAACTATGGGCGACTTCCCTGCCACTCACCTTCCCGCCCTTTCTGCTGTGTGGACTGAACCCCACTCCCAGCAAGCATCCTGGGACCTTGGCAGCCACGTGCAGTTAGTCCTGCTGCTGTGATGGGCCAGCACAGCTGCCAATGAAAGACGCTGGAAACATCCTCCAGTGCAGCCAGGTGTGGTGCTCACTCTGAGGCTGCGGACACTCCCCTGCAGACTCTAAGACACGCACACAGTCGACAGAAGGAGCATCATCTGTTAAACCCGAAGAAAGTCTCCATGGGGCTGCCCACCTGGGGCCCTGCAAGGCCAAAAGGAAGCTCTGGTGTCCTCAAGACCACGCCTCGAGCCACTTTCCCAGTTCCCTCTCTCCCGGGTCTAGAAATCACCCATTTCTGAGTTGGTGAATAGTGACAGGGGTTGGCCAACTTTTCCTTGGAGGGCTGCACTCTAAAGACTGGCTCCACTGCTTTGCTGATCCCTACAACTACAGCATTTCCTGCGCACACACTCACACACACACACACACACACACACACACACACACACACACACACCGGGGTCCTCTGTGGGCTGGGATCATACTCTGTGCGGTTTCTATTGTTTTAATTTTGTTAAAATGTGTTTCCTTGCCCAGAATGTGGTCTTTCTTGGTGCCTTAAGCTGTTCAGCCTGCTATAATAAAATAGCATAGGCTGGTGGCTTCACGACAGAAATTTGTTTTCTAATGGTTCTGGAGTCTGAGAGTCCAAGGGCAAGGTTCCGGAGGCTGGAGTCTGGAGAGCTTTGGGCTGCAGTGGCTGCCCTGCCGCCCGGTGCTCTCGGGACCTCTTCTCTGCGCGTCCACACAACTGGAGAGGGAGCGAAGGACATGCACAGTGCTCTGCTGCCTCTTCTCAGAAAGGGGATCCAGGTCCCCACCCTGATGGCCTCATTTAGCCACAATCACTTCCTTAGAGCTATAAGAACTCCGATGCATGAATTTTTGGGAGACACAAATAGCCAGGCCATGACGTCGTGAGTGGTCTGTGTGAATTTGGGTAGAATGTATGTTGTTGAAGGAAGCAGTCTACAGGTGTCAGTTGGATACAGTCAATTAGTGGTGGCCTGGGGGCTTGGCTCAGAGGCATAGGCACCTGCCAGACAAGTGCAAGGTCGTGAGTTCGATCCCCGGTATCAAAAACAGACAATTGACGGTGATGTGCAGTTCTGCTGTGCGGTCACTATTTTCTGCCTTCTGAATCAGTCAGTTACTGAGAGACACTGACCTAAGTATAACATAGATTTGTCTATTTCTCCGTACGGTTCTATTTTTGCTTAGTCTGACACTCTTGCTAGAAGCCTTTGTGTTAAGGATTACTATGTTTTCTTGTCGTTATGTATTACTGCTCTTTAGCTCTGATGATTTCTCTTGTTTTGAAATCTAGTTTTTCTGAAATTAATATAGCTATGCGATTCAGAATCCAGAACCATTAGAAAATAAATTTCTGTTGTTAATATTTTATTAATATCAGCATTGTACTGTTTATCTTTCTCCACTGCTTTACTGTTGATCTGTCTTTATATTTAAAGTACGTTTCTCAGCCGGATGTGGTGACACACACCTATATTCCAGCACTTGGACGGCTGAGGCAGGAGGATCAGTATGAATTCCAGGCCAGCCTGGGCTACAAAGTGAGTCCAAGGCCAGCCTCAACTGTGTAATGAAACCCTCCCTCAAAAAGATAAATAAATACATTTCTCATAAACGGCATATTATCTACTTTGTTTCACCTACTCTAATAATAGCCTTTTTTAATTGGTATACTGAAATTATCCCCATTTAGTGATTCCCGATGCGGTTGAATTGGTGCCTACCATGTTTTCAACTGTTTTCTCCTTTCTGCACTGTTCTTCCTTATTTTTCAAAATCTTCCTCTTTTTCTGCCTTGTCAAGGTTTAATTGGCCATTTTATGACCCCATTTTCTCCCCTCTC